ATGCGGACAACCGGGGTCGATGACTTGGTCGTGGATCGAAGAGGCAGGGAGCGCTTGAAGCCCCAGTCACCAAGGGCCCTCGAGGATTCGGTAGTGGTGATGGATTGGTGCGTGGGATAAGGCGCGGTCGCCGTCGGGGATGCGTATCGAGCGATGGCAGCTGCTTGACCTCCGGGTTGAGGGAGCGGCTTGGGCACAGAGAACATCCGAGATGATCTCAGCAGCGCCCCTCCGGGCGACATTCGGGCAGACATGGCGGCTGGCGAAGCTCTCTACTGAGCTTGGTCGTCGTCAGTCGTATGTATCGCGGAACGGGTGACGGGCGTGCATCGTTGCGTGAGAAATTTCAATTGGAGTGCGGAAGAAGCCGGCGTACCTGATTGGGTGAGAGCTACCCCTGTCGTTTCTCCTGCTTCTCTCCACTGTCACCCGAAATGTCCATGTATGGTGCACAATCTAAACCAATTAAGGGATAAGAGACACTGGGCCTCCAGTCTCAGAGGCTTCGAGTGGTAGAGACAGCGAGGGAACTTTGCGAAGTTGAATATTCCGACAATTTGCAAATTTCGAACTAGATAAAAGCCTTCGAACAGTATTTTCAGGTCTTAGCGAGGCACACAGAAGCTACCTCGGTATTTTAAGGCTTAAGGTCAGGTACATAGGATGGGGTTTGAAATTTAGAGGGACATTCGGCAGGAAGGACACTCAACGGCCCCACCAACGCCGATGGGAAAGCGCATCGTCTAGCGGTTCGAATTTGGAGAATTGCATTTTGCCAACCCGCACTCAGCCCTTTCCCCCTTCCTGCCACATCGCAGCCAGCAGCCTGTGGACTGCGCGATCGCTCATGTGGATAGCGAAAAGGATGGCGTCAACCAATGTCGGGTCCTCGCCCGCTCTCACCTTCGAGCTCGTCGCTCGCTGTTCAGTAAGCATCCCCCACCTCCGTACTTTGACTCACAATCTTCATGTGATTCCTAGTTCGCATGTTAACGGTTTAGGCCAGACAACGAGAGCCCGCGCATCCATCCTGACGCTTCCTCACGGCCAGGTTCAGCTTCCGATATTCATGCCTGTCGCGACACAAGCTTCGCTCAAAGGCTTGACTCCCGAGCAGCTTGAAGAGACGGGCTGCCGCCTGTGCCTGAACAACACCTACCATCTCGGCCTGAAGCCCGGTCAAGACGTACTGGACAAGATCGGCGGCGCGCACAAGCTCCAAGGATGGAAACACAATCTTTTGACGGATAGTGGAGGGTACATATACCTTCTTGACTGGATTGCGAAGGTCTTCACCAGTTACTGACTAAGTCTATAGCTTCCAAATGGTCAGTCTCCTCAAGCTGGCGAAAATCACTGAGGAGGGTGTGCGCTTCCTCAGCCCCCACGATGGTTCGCCCATGCTTTTGACTCCAGAGCACTCCATGTCTCTGCAGAATTCGATTGGAAGCGACATCATGATGCAGCTCGACGACGTACTTGTCACGACATCACCCGACGCAGCCCGTATGCGCGAGGCCATGGAGCGAAGTGTAAGATGGTTGGATCGGTGCATCGCAGCGCACAAGAACCCCAAGACCCAGAACCTCTTCTGCATCATCCAAGGCGGTCTCGATCTCGAAATGCGACGGGAGTGCACACGGGAGATGTTGGCGCGCGATACCCCAGGCATCGCCATTGGTGGTCTGAGTGGTGGCGAGGCTAAGACGGATTACTGCCGTGTTGTCGAGACGTGTACCGAGCTGCTGCCGGATCTCAAACCTCGATATGTCATGGGTATCGGATACCCCGAGGATTTGGTTGTGAGCGTCGCCCTGGGAGCGGATATGTTCGACTGTGTCTGGCCGACGCGGACAGCCCGATTTGGCAACGCAATCACGAAGCACGGCGTACTGAACATTCGCAACTGGCGATATGAGAACGACTACGGCCCTATTGAGGAAGGATGTGGCTGTATCTGTTGCCGGAAGGGCGAGGGTGGTCTAGGTGTGACTAGGGCCTTCATCAACCATAATGCGGGCAAGGAAACGGTCGCTGCTCACCTGCTGAGCATACACAACGTCTGGTATCAGCTGAACCTCATGAAAGATATCCGGCAAGCTGTTATCGAAGACAGGTACCCTGCCCTTATTAGGCAGTTCTTCGGCGATCTTTACGACTATGACAAGTCAAAGTATCCAGAGTGGGCTGTTGAGTCTCTGAAGAGAGTAGGAGTCGATTTAATAAACGAGTAAACTCACGGCTGTCGTCAAGACTATTTCACGTTGAAGATGATTGAGACACTGGTGAAATTGTTTACTGATCACTGATACCGACTAAGCCTCCGAGATCAGTGTTTGCCCATGCTATTGAGCTGTAAGTCTTTTCTTGATTGGGCCCCTCACATTGAGAGTCAATAAGGCAAAACGGCGTGTCCGAAACCATGCAGTTGAAAACGCCCATCGCTGATAATGATTCTTTGGCATTGACTATAAGTTCAACCTACACCTACTTTGCCAAATATCCGGTCGAGCTTACTGGCTGGACTTCCCCTCCGCCCAGAGCTTCTTTTACGGCATTGGCCCTCCTCTTCTGCTCCTATATCTGGACGCCAAGACCTTTCTCCGCGTTGAGAGTCAGTAAGGCGAAACAGCGTGTCCAAAGTCAGAACGCCCATCGTTGATAATCGTTTCTCGACGCTGACTGTGACTCCAAACATGGCTAGTTTACCAAGTGTCAGGTCGAGCTTGCTCGCTGGACTGGCACTGACTCGGCTCTTCTGCTCCTACATCTAGACGCCAAGACTCTCTTCTCCTAGCGGCTGCCGTATCGTTGCCCAAAGTGATTTTCGGCCCTAACCCAGGGTTGTCGTGCTTCGCAGTTCCCACAATCATTCGGTTGCGAACTTCAGCTTCGAAGGCCAGTCGGTCCTTGATGTTCATCGGGGGGGGGGGGGGGGGGGTGTCTTGGAGTCTGTCGTGGATTCGGCTCAGACCGTCTGCGACTTTGGTAATCTAGGTGGTGTTCGGTCGGTGTAGGTACTCCACATCGTGCTCTGTGAGGACTTCAATCTACTTGGCGAGTTTGCCATGAACTTCCCCATTGTGTCCGAGCAAACGGAGTGAGCTCTGGCTCCATTCGAGATCCTCCTTAAGAGTGTCATCTTGTCGAGCAGACTGGCACCCTTCCGCTTGATTAAACCTCTTTAGCTTACGTTGAGGCTTCCGTGCGTTGGCCAATAGTGGCATCTCTTCTTCGCAGACGAGGTGTATTCTGGGACGAATGCCTAGAAGACGCTACGGTGCCTTGACTAACGGTGGCATTTTGTCTGAGCAGACTGGGCGGTTCGAAGCTTCCTTGGCCGAGAGTGGCATCTTGTCTCGGTAGACTGGGTGGTGCGAATCTCTCCTGGCCAACAGTGGCATCTTGTCTTCGCAGAAGAGGTGGGCCCTCACCTTCGTGTCGCCGAAGACGCTCGCATCGAACCACCGTCACTACCACGGTGTAAGTAGATATCCTAGGTGGCAGTCGCTCGCGGGTATACGAGACGATGGCGTCAAAGACGCAGCCCATGAGCACCTTCAGGCGGCCAGCTTCTACACAGGCCTCGACCTGCCGCTCACTGAGAGCCAGCGTATCCTAGTGCGAAGGTAAATCAGCATCACTTCACTAACTACGAGTAAAAGGGGGTTGAAACCAAGAATGTGGTGAAGTACGTACATGTACGGGCTGGTGGGTCAGCCTGTCAAGGTCCTCAAACCCAAGGATGAGGCGCCGGAATCTCCCCACAATCTCGAGAGTCTCCTCGAGATTGAAGGTATGCGTGCTGTCGTTGGGTTCAGAATCCATCTCCAGGAGGGCCGGTCGAAGTGCGCGGGTGATTCGCGTCATCGCTTCATCAAAGCCCGTCCTTGTGCCGTCTTGCTCCCGAAGAATGTTCTCATATATATCCCCAAGCATGCAGTCTAGCACAGCCATGGTATAGGGCCGCAAAATCTGCTCTACTTCGTCCACAGTGGAGGTCAAGACCCCGAGTTCCTCTGGCGTCCTGAGACCGTCGTTTCTCTTGAACTCTTGGACCCTTGCCGCTAGCAACTTGGAGCGGTCTGCGAGCTGAAGCACATGGTCGAGTGGGAGAATTTCCCCGACCGGTATGTCCTGTATTGATTGATACATTCTGTGTGTTGTACGTTCTTTCATTGTATTTCGGGTCCGAAGTCTCTCACGTCTTGAGAAGGTTTCGTCTCTTGGTAGTCGTCTTTATCTCTGTATGGAGGGGCTATCGTACTGAAGAAAAGAAATATGATACCAATCTATAGTGCTTTTCGTAAACGATTCGAAAGGCGGGCTCATTCAGTCATGCGGTTTCCCTCTATTATAGAAACCTCATTCACGCAACGGAGACACCCTTCCCAGGTGGCCTTAAACCCTAATATGCTATAGGAGTGAATCACTCGGCGTCCAGAATTTGTGGCAGCTGCATTGAAAAGGGTGGGAAACAAGCATTTGTGGCCTGACCGAGCTGTCTCCTTTCTCCTCTTCCTGTGGCCACCAACTGCTGCTGCCACAACATTTTGCGGCTCGGTGGCTGAAGCAGGTAGCATGGTACGTGGCGGTCAACGCGGAAGAAGCCTAAGAGGTGGCAGAAATATCAACGTCAAGGGCCGCGAGCAGGTGACTGAATATATAATCAGGCACGAAGAAACGCCTCTGAGTCGTTCATCTGATAAAGGGGCAAGCGAGGCAGAGTCTACAGAGTGGATTGAAATGAGCAAACATTAGCACAATAATTGAGTTTGCATAGAGGGGATACGCCGGTAATACTGACGATCAAACCAAACAGATGTCTTCGCGTCCCTTGCCCTGTCATCTCGGTTCCGACCAACTGGATCCTCATATGTGGCTCCGATAATGTACTCCGTAGAAACGGGCAATCCAATCGTTGATGAACCTCCGTCCGACGGTGTCAGGGTTGGGTATTACGGTATATTATTTGTCGCCGTTATGGTGCCTGCTCACAAATGACCCCTCCGTACGTCCCAGACACGCAGAAAGACCCTCCAGGTTGGTGGACGCCTGTTTCCGCTGATCAATCTATGGTTACGGAAGGTGGTACCCACCTTACCTTGGCTGTGGTCATGGAACGAGGCGCACCACCTCCGTATTCTACCCAGGTACCTCGCCTGGCAGAAAGAAGGCGGTACTGGCGTTCTGCTCCTTCCTTCTCATCGAAAGAGGCAGGCGTACCTTCCACACGTGCCATGAGAAGCCTTGATATACCCCCTCAAACCCATTCCTGTCACCAGCCAGCAGGCGCCCGTCTAGGTCGACGGGTCAGGTCAAACTGGCTGGGTGGTGGAGTGGTTTATGGTCAACAATTAAAATCGCCAACCAGCCTACTCGACGACAGGCTTAGCGCATACGAGTATCACGAGTTCGAGTCCCGGTATAAGCACCTAAAAATCGAAAATTTCCCAGCATGAGCACCAAGAGATGTAGCCCCCAGTTCAGCACCGGGGGGGTGAACTCTTTTGTCAGTCTGAATGACTTTTTGGTGCTTATATTGCCAGTCCCAAGGTAGGCTCGAAATGACTGATACCACCTTTCCTTTGGGTGGCTTATCTTTTGGCCCCTTCTAATGCCATGTTCTGGTCAAAACCCATACCATATACCTCTCTGTAGTGATGACATGACTGATTTTCGGGTCTTCTCGGCAGATGGTCGTGTATTTTATTATAATAAAGGTGCTCAGAAAAGCATCGGGTATGTCGAATTGTGTTGATGCATTTGAAAGCCCGTTGAAGAATATTAAGCTCCTGGAGAAAAAGGCGTTGGTTAGATGTAAGTGGACGTTTGACTGTGGACGTTGCATTGCACGAGGGAGTGACGATTGTGCCCCCACATGGTATTGTCTGAACCCCACTTGAATCGGTAGCGCCTGCGCTTCTCTCAGCCCAAGCGGGATCAGGCGAAATGCCCCGCGCATCCCCTATTTGTTGATCCCCACGTGATCGCAATTATGCACCTTATGACGCGTGTTGTGTACACAGAACAGACGCGACGGACAAGTGACAACTGTGACGATGTGCTGGCGGGCGGTCAACTAATACGTAAAGTCCCCTACCCACCACCTCCCCTGCAGCCAGCTGCAAGTTGTCAGAAGCAGCTACACACCGCACTTATCCAAAACTTCACTTTCGGGACATTTTCTTTTGCTACCGGTTTCTCACTTTATTGTTTTCCCCAACCTTTTCTCTCATCCGAGATACCACGCAAGATTTCATGGGTCTTGCGCCTCTGCCATGGCCTCTCCATTCGAAAGAGCGCCATCGCGGCGCCCATCACTGCTGAATACATCCTCTCATGATGGGGACAAGGAGCTGGCGCATTCGCTCAAGCAGCTCTCCCTTTCGACATCATCCGCCAGCAACTCACCCCGGGCTTCGAGCGCTCTGTCTCCCATGAGACCGGCCGTAAATCGAACATCTCCGGCACCGAGTCCACGAGCCCCGTCTCGAAGTCCCTCCTTTGCGAGAGAGCTCTCCCGCTCCCGATCTTCGACGCCGACGCTGCAGCGATCTTCAACGCCAACACTTCAGCGCAAGGCCTCCACCAGTTCCTTGCACTCTGTGAGTGGCTCTTCGAGCCGAACCCCTAGCCGAGCGCCTTCGAGGCGAACTAGCATGGTGCATGCCTCTTCTCCTGTCGCCAAATCCCCTTTGCGCCCGAGCCCCCCTGAGTATATCAAGCCTGCGCCCACAGCGAATACGGTCGCCCGCGATTACTTCAAGACCGAATTGGAGGTTCACCACTCGCCAACTTCGACTCGAGCAACGGAAACCCTCGTCATTCTCCACGATGCCTGCTACGGCCACCGTTTCTCTCGACCCAAGACGTCCAAGGGCGCTCTCAGCACTATCGTTGAGCGGCCTGAGAGAATCAAGGCCGGCGTGTTGGGGGTTGCCATGGCCTACGTGCGGCTCGGGGAACGGCACTGCGATGGCGCATATGCGCTCCATCCAAGTCTGGATCCCTCTACCATCCCGACGATTCCGTTTCGCATCTACAAGACCGAACGGAGACTGCCCCTGACATCGGCAGCTGTCACCAACGTCCACGGCACCAAGTGGATGGAGGAGCTCAAGATGATGTGCGAAGGAGCAGAGATAAAGTTGGCGACTGGTGGGAAGGAGCTTCAGAGGCCAGAATTAAACAGAGGTTCAGACGGACCGCCTGCGAAATTCCACGAGGGTGACCTCTATCTTTGCTCCGAATCGCTGGAGGCTTTTGAGGGCGCGCTGGGTGCCGTTTGCGAGGCCGTAGACCGCGTTTTCACATCAGGTCCTCGACGAGCCTTTGTCGCTGTACGCCCACCGGGACATCATTGCTCAGCTTCTTTCCCGTCAGGATTTTGCTGGGTTAATAACGTCCATGTCGGTATTATGCATGGCATTCTGAACCATGGCCTTACCCATGCGGCTATCATCGATTTCGATCTTCACCACGGAGATGGCTCCCAAGCCATCACTTGGGCGCATAACTCACGGGGAGTGAATGCGGCCAAGAACACGGCAGCGTGGAAGAAGGCGTCCATCGGCTACTTTAGTCTTCACGACATCAACTCGTACCCCTGTGAGTGGGGTGATGAGGAGAAGGTCAAGAATGCTAGTCTGTGTATTGACAATGCCCACGGCCAAAACATCTACAACGTCCACCTGGAATCATACGGTTCAGAGAAGGAGTTCTGGGAGCTATACGAGACCAGGTACTCAGTAATCCTGGAGAAGACGCGCAAGTATCTGAAAAACCAAGCGGCTCGCCTTCGTGCTTTGAATCTGCCTCCCAAGGCGGCAATCTTCTTCTCGGCCGGATTCGATGCCAGTGAGTGGGAGACCAAGGGTATGCAACGTCATAACGTGAACGTTCCTACCGAGTTTTACGCTCGTATTGCTCAAGATGTTGTGAAGCTTGCCGCAGAGGAAGGATTGGGAGTTGACGGGCGCGTAATCAGCGTGCTCGAGGGCGGCTACAGCGACAGAGCTCTTTACTCTGGTATTTTCAGCCATCTGAGCGGACTCTCAGGAAATCAGACCCCGGAAGAGCCCACTCGGGGTCGCTCTTCACTCGGCGACGAAATGGCAGGGCAGATCGCTGCAGCCATCACTGGCGAGCCATCTCTACATCCTTACAAACCGTCATGGTGGTCGAGCTCCGAACTCGACGAGCTAGAAGTTGCGATGGGCAACAGACCAGCCAGTCCCAAGATGATACGGCACTCAACTCCGCCGACATACTCAACTCCCACACAGGCGTCGATTGGTAAGTCCATAGATCCGGCAAGGATGAGACGAATGGCGTCCGGCTTGTCGAATGGAATGCCATATTCGCGACCAGCAACACCACCTCCCCCCGATGTGCCATGGACCATAGCAGCCCATGAGCTGAGCAGGCTACTCATTCCGTCGGATCGCCAAGTCGATAGCTGCAAACCTGAAGACCTAAATGCGGAGGCTACAAGGGCTCGGAGAGACCGGCAGTCAATTCTGAACCCTGATCTTGTGCCGCCGGCACCTGCTCCCGCGCCCGCTCCGAAGCCAGCAAGCAGGCCTACCTCGCGAATGTCTCTGAGAGAGCGGAAGCCAGCGAAGCCTGGCTTATACGTTGATGCAGACGAAGATGATGACAAGCAGTCCAAGAATCGGCGAAGAACGGTCGCGGGCCCTGCTGCGCTGTCATCTGAGAAGGTTTGTCACTCCTCGTAGTATCGCAAATAGACTCAAACTGACGACGACACTAGGCAACGGCCCGAGGCATACCCTCTGACACAAATGGAGCAGCTAAGCGACCTGGTCGACGCCTTAGTGGTGTGTCTACTGTGGCTTCGAATGCTCCTAACACAGAGTTCGAGAGCAACGGAGTTTCAGCTCAGCGTCCCGACACTTCTATGAGTGTGCGACCAGACACTGCGATGAGTGTCAGAACTCAGAGTGCTACGTCTTTGAATGTTAAGAAGACAAGAGCTCCAGCAGTCAAGAAGGAAGCCCCCAAAACCACCAGAATTGTGAAGAAGCCTGCCGCAATGGCGAAACCCTCTCCTCCTCAGCAGGCTGGACCATCTCAGCCGCCTCAAGGAAAGCCGAGCCCAGCTGCTGCATCGGAGGACGATATGGACAAGTTGACTGCCGGTATGAAGAAGGTCAAGATCAACTTGATCACGAAAACACAGAAAGAAGAGCGTGCCAAGGCAGCACAAGCAGCTCAAGCCGCTCAAGCCAAAGCTGCCACACCCCCCACAGCCGAGGAAGCAAAGACGGATTTCCCGTTTGAAGCACAGACGGCTTACTCGCCGGTGGCACCTCCGATCGTCACACCTCCGCAAGACGAGGCTTTCGCTACACCGCCAACGCAGCCTCCGGTTTTTGAAGCCCCGTCACCGCCCGCCGTTCCAGAAGGCCGGCCTGAAGTCTCAACTCCAGTGACGGAGCAAATGCCTCTCGTCGCCACCCCTGATCCTCGTTCAGTAGAGCTCCCCGCCAGCTCACCCGCCGCGATGTCGCCAACCGTAGCAACACCCTCATCGGATGTTTTCATCAACTACCAACCGGAGGGTCCTCCACCTGTGTCCTTAACGCCGTCAGAACCCCTGAAGTGGATGCCGCCCAACACCAACACGCCCGTCAAAGCCTCGCCGTCTAAGCCATCGCCAGTCAAGCTGTCTTCAGCCAAACCGTCCCCCATGAAGAAGTCTCCGGTAAAGATGATGCGTGCCGATCTTCCAGTCTTCACCTCCACATCTGCGATCCCCTTTGCGCCGCCGGGAATGAGCGCCCCGTCTGAGGTCGAGCAAGAGCCGGCAATTAAGGCCGATCCGGAGGAGCCGGCAAAGTCGGTTTGGGATATCCCGGAAACTCCGCAGAGGCAATAGTGCGCTGTGTCACAGACCGAGAGGTTTGGGGTGGAAGCACTGACACAGATTTGGGCCGTCGCAGTCTTTGAAAAGTCATTTGTTTATTTTGTCTCCTTTGCCCAACGCTTTTCTCCAAGTATAGAACTTTGTTTTCTGCGAATCGGGCTTTTTGAGCCGTGTACTTGGAGTTCGCCGTCTTGATACCCTCTCGTCCGAGTTATTCTTTTTCTTCTTGATCCTCTGATTCCTCTATAAATACTATAACTCTCTTTTCTTGTACTGGTCATGTACTTCGATACTGCCATTGAAGCCATTGGAGACGTTGTCAACGTAGAGCCATGATTGGCCGAAATGCCTATAAATGTGACATGGAACCAAGATCCCATGTAACCTCGTGGACGTCCGCGGACGCGGCCAAAAGCCTTGGCATGCAGAGACTTGATTTACAAAGTAGCGGGATTATGCGCGTCAACGTGGACGGATCAACGTCAGCGATTTGCTGCGGCTACCCGTCGGGCCCCGAAATTTTTCTTTGGTGGGGAACCCATTACAGCGCATGTTTAACGCATCCCAGAC